AGTGTCCTGCTTTCCACGGTTGCAGGTGTATTTGTCTGCCTCCACTCTGCCTCCAGAGCTTGCATGCCAGGCTCCTGGGTCCTCCCTGCTACCCAACCCCACTCAGGCCTCTCGCCTCTTCTTTACTCTCCCCATCTATTTCCAACAGCTCCAGGGCAAGAGAGGGGCTCAGCCAAGCCCCAAACCACTACCAGCCCCATGGGAGCCAAGGAGGGACCGGCACCATTCCTAGTGGTCCCAACTGGAACTCTAGGCCCACCCTTGCAAGGCAAGAGCCTTTTGGGACAAGTCACCTGTACCAAAGCATAACCTTCCAAAAGGAAGAAACAGGATTCCTTGCGAATTGCTCCAGAGTCTGAGCTGGAGTTTTTGGGTATTGATGAGAGAAGTGGTGGGAAGACAAGGGCAGTTTGAAGATGAGAGAGTGAAAAGAGACTGAAGTACACACAGGTTCATAGAACATGCATATTGGCTTTTTATCCCATTTTCCAGAAACTCTGTGAAATTCCTTCATATAGAGATAGACACAATGAGAGGGAGAGAGAAAAACTAGAGGGGAGGGAGGAGATAGGAGATTCCTGAGAAGTATTGGAGATTGCCAAGGGATGCAGCTGGCATCATGGTGCAGTGGGTGACACTGCCATTTGCAACGCTGGGCTTTTCTATGTTGGAGTCCCAGCTGCTCTGCTTCTGATCCAGGTCCCTGCTGAGGCACCCAGAAAAGCAGCTTCCTTGAAATTTCCTTGAGAGCTTGGACCCCTGCACCAACGTGGGAGACCCAGAGGGCACTCCACACTGCTGGTTTCAGCAGCCTGGCCCGACCTTAGCTGTTGCAGCTACTTGGGGCATGAACTAGTGAATGGAGGACTCTGTGCCACTCTGCCTTTCAAATAAAATAAATCTTTTTAAAAACCATATGTTCTTGGACCCAGCGCAGTGGCCTAGTTGCTAACGTTCTCGCCTTGCATGCACTGGGATCCCATATGGGTGCTGGTTCAAGCCGCAGCTGTTCCACTTGCCTTCCAGCTCTCTGCTTATGGTCTGGGAAAGCAGTGGAGGACGCCCCAAGCCTTGGGACCCAGCACCCATGTGGGATAACTGGAGGAGGCTCGAGGCTCCTGGCTCCTGACTTGAGGTTGACTCAGCTCCGGCTTTTGCAGCCACTTGGGCAGTGAATCAGTGGATGGAAGATCTTTCTCTCTGTATTGCCTCCTTTATGTATATCTGACTTTCCAATAAAAATAAATGAATGTTTAAAATAAACAACCACAACAACAACAACAAAAAACCCATGTTCTTAAAAATTGCCAAGTTAAACATCCAGCTAATTGATGTCCATAGGACAATAGAGTTGTAGCCCTTAGCACTAATGTCTCTATAAAACAAATGATTTATTCTCTCAGCAAGTATCATTTTCAGCTTATCAGTCTTCCACAAATCCGAGGCAGTTACCTCCCCAGAGTGCGATGACCTGTGGGTGGCTCAGTTGACTTGATACCCCAGATCGGCAGCAGCCAAGCCTCTAATGCAATGTGAAACTTTCTAGTAGCCACATTTTAAACCCCTCAAATAGATAAAATTGTGATAATATGGACTTAACCCAATTTGTATAAAATATTATCAACCTGTATCAATAGCAAAAAAAAAAAAAAAAAAAAGTTGTTTCACAGTGTTTTCTTTCCTAAGTCTTTGCAATCCGGTGTGTATGCTGTACTTATAGCTCAACTAGGCACATTGCAAAGGTTCAAGACCACAGAGTGGGGGCCGGTGCCCAACCTGTTGGATAGCACAGTCCTAGGTCATGGTTCTCCAGCTGCAGGACACCTGAGAACCGCCTGGAACGTTGGCGACTGCATGCTGCCTGACTCCCACACCCCTCAGGCTCTGATTCAGCAAGTCTAGAGTATGGTGGGGTCGGGAAAGGCATGCTGAACATCTGCCTTTCCAGCAAGTTCCTGGGTGATGCTGCTGCCAGTGTGGCCCCCATACCTTGACATCTACCATTCCAGGGTGATGATGGTAATGATAATGGGTAAGAAACAGGGAAAGAGTGAAAAAACAGGAAGACTGGAAGAGGAAGCTCCCACCCCTTTAGTTCACTCCCCAAATGCCTACCATTGCTAGTACTGGGCTGAGAACCAGGAGCCAGGAACTCCATCCTGGTCTCCCACATAGGTGGCACAGATCAACCCAAGTCCTTGAGCTATCCTCCACTGCTTCCCAGAGCCTGCGTTGGCAGGACGCTCGATTCAAAGTCAAGACCTGTGATCTGCTATGTGGGCATCCTAATCCACGCTTTTAACTGCTAGGCCAAACACCCAAAACAAGTGAGAGAGCAGCTTTCTTCACACCTCTCTGGCAGGCAGGCGGGTAGAACAGTGGGGCCTCTGCTGAAGGCTGGCCTGGCGCTCAGCCTCTAAGCTGGAGCAGCCTCGATCTCCAGGGGCCCCCTAAACCCCAGCTGGAAATGGGCTGCAGTGCCTCTATTAATGGCCTTGACTGTGAGTTGGCTTGGAGGTGAGCCCTAATATCCTGGCTTATACTCATTCATTAGTGGCCTGAAGACATGCCAGCCAGGCTCAAAGTCTGCAACATCCTGGAACAGGACAACAGCTATGGAGGTGTTGGCAGGGCCCCCAACCTCTCATGGGACAGAGCCTTGGAGCCTAGTATGTTCAGAAGAGGGCAGGTGGGGCATGTGAACTGCTGTGGACCAGGGGATGGATGACTGGGACTTGTCCTGAAAGGGAAAGCACAGGAGGGTGCTGGAAAGGCTGGCACCCTGCAGAGACAGGGCCCTTGGGGGTCGGACGTGAAGGACACCCTAGGATCAGGGCTGAGGGGCAGGCAGCCTTCAGTAGTGGCTGAGTCCATCCCACGTCACATGCTGAGTTGTGTCCAAGCCATAGCCCCATCCCAGAGACTCTTCCTCTGGATTCTGTAAGGCGTTCAGGGGTGCATGTTATTCCTGGGGGTATCTCCACACTTGTCTCTCGCCAGGGTGCCTGAGGGTTGGCATCAGGGCCCTGAGGACGTCCCTCCTTGCAGCACCTGGTGAAGGACTAAGCATGTGTTACTGAACATACAAGAACTGCTCTGCCCTGTGTAATGTGTCTGGGGATGTACTCGGTTATATATGAGTGTTGGACACATGTAAGGTGACTCCTGTGAGTGTCAGAGTATGTACACCATGGAGTATCTTCATGGTACAGAGGGTGATGGCCGTGGCATTGAATGTGAGGTCAGTGGAGTGTCTCCACTGTCCAGGGATACTGTTTGGGAGCACTGGAAGTGTTTGTATCTGGGGTGGGCTAGGGGGCAGTAGTGGCATCTGCCCTTGGTAACAGGGTGATATGTGTGTGTGTATAGTAGGGGTGCACTGTGTGGGATCCCTTGGGGTATCTGTCCTTCACAGCACCCTCTGGGACGTAGATGGTTTACAGTATGTGAAAACCTGGTCAGGGAGTTCACATTTTGGATACTATATCTGATGCCATGTCTAGAGGGAAAGGAACATAAAGAGAATGGGGATGACAGGTGCCATGGATTGAAACGGGGCTCGTGGACGTGTAACTCTGGAAAGGGACTGTCACCAGCTCTCTGTTTCAGGACCCACAGGGATCCTCTATTTGGGGTCGGGCAGGAGGGGAATAAATTTTCAGAGCTGGCATCAAGTCTTCCTGTGAACTTGATTTTTACCTTTGTAAACTTTAGAGGCAACTCCGGTGAATTTAGGCCCATAAGTGTGTGTGGCCCCTAAGTCACTACTATCTGTAAGAGTCAAGGGTCCACTCCCTGGCTTGGGACCCTTATGTGGCACATAGCATGCTAAAAATAACTCCCAAAGGGGTGAGGGTACAATAAGGAAGCTGAGAGCAGAGTTCAGGCAGCATCTTGGGCAGCTGTGGCACCTGCCAGAATCACCTGCCCCTGCCCCACCCCACCAGGCAGACTAGCCCTGCACTCTACAGTTTATAAAGGCTATCTCCTTGGATGCCCAAGTCCCCACAGGAGCTAGGACAGATACTGCTCCTGTTCTAGGCTTATTAAGAGTACAGAAGCTAACAGATTGTCCACGGCTGCCTTCTTGATGGGTGGGCCAGCCCCTGCCACCTGCCAAAAGAACATGAAGGACCAAGTGCTTGGAGGTCTCTCAGGAGCCAGCCTCATCATGGTCATATGTGGAAAGGCCGACAGAAGCCCCTGCTGTAAGCACTGGGTAGGCTGGCTGTGTAATTAGGTGTTTGCAATGTGGGTGATGGCCACATGGCCTGAAAAGAGAGAGTCTGTCCTGTGAGATAGCCTTTCAGTGTTTGCAGTAGCTGTATTCCAAGTGATCGTGTACAGCCTGCCATGGTGTGTTAACGCATGCACTCTAAGTGCTCCACACTCCCGTTTGTGCACATAACTGTGTTGGATGTGTTGGACTCACTGCCCGCAATGAGTCTAGACCGTATGTGGGATGGGTGTAGACCTGGTATGGGGTACGTCGTGTATGCATGTGTGATGGCTGGTTTTTGTAATAGAACATAAGACAAATCCAGCGTCTGTCTTGGAGATGCTGTTTTGGATGGGTCCATTGCGAGCTGTGTGAGAGCTGGGGTGCGGGGGGAGATGCAATATACTGCATATGTGGTAGGTGAATACTACAGCGGATACACAGGAGTAAGTGCATTTGCTGGATGGAGAGGTGATGGAAACAACTTGTAATTATATATGGTGGACATCGATGTATGATGAGTGTACACTGTGAGGAGAAAGCCCACCATGTGGTTGGTATCCTGAGTGTGTGTGTGAGCAGGAGGGATCTTACAGTAGTCATAGCAGTAGGTCCATTTGGTGAGATATCAGGCGCCTATACACACAAAGCATCATGGGGGTGCACCTGTATGGTAGATAAATGGCTATACTGGGAGGGAGGGCATGGACCAGAGCAGCTGCACTTTCCTCTGTCTCTGGAGTCCCAGCCCACCCCGAGCCCACCGACCACACTGTTTCAGGTTCTTCCTCAAGTTCTTCCTCAAGTGCAACCAGAACTGTCTGAAGAATGCAGGAAACCCCCGAGACATGCGCCGCTTCCAGGTGGGTTTGGAGAGAGGATGTTCCCCTCCGTCCCGCCCCAACCCAATCCAACCCATGAGAGTGGCAGGAAGCGGAGTGGAGGCCATGACCCAACCTGGACAGTACATCTCTGCTCCGCGGTAGGTCTCTGGGCCGGGCGCCAGCTGGGGGCGGGGCAGCTCCGTCTCAACTTCTGCTGGCTGCCAAGGGAGGCTTCATTAGAATCCCACTTAAGAAGATGCTAATTGTGACATTTTTACATGATTAACGACCCAGGTAATTTGCATAGTGTGAAGCCGAGAGCAGCTGCCCTTAGCACATCTTCAGCCTGCACACCCCTCCCAGGACCAGGGTAGTGGGAGATGGCAGCCCCTGCTTCCTCCCAGGATGGGTGGGGGGGGCCTTCTGCTGACAGTTTTTCTAACTAATATTATCCTCACCCTCCCCCCCACCCCAGCCCACCCACCCCTTTTCTTAGATCTAGCCTGGGGAGCTGTCAGCCTGGTGCTCCTGGGCATGCAGGCGCCACGGTCACTCAACCTGGACAGCCAGAGTGCCAGAGTTTTCTCAGGGTTCCTGGGGTGGGAGTGGGGGCAGTCAGTTCAGCTGGGGATGTCACCTGATCCAGCCATGTCCCACCCCCTTCCATCAGCTTGGGTGCAGGACTCAAGTTGTTAGTTCCCCAGCACAGTTCCCTCTCAGGACCCCCATCAGGCTGGCTGTGGCTCTTCGGGCAGGTGGTGGTGTCCACAACAGTGAGTGTGGATGGACACGTCCTGGCTGTGTCAGACAACATGTTCGTGCACAACAACTCCAAGCACGGCCGCAGGGCCCGCCGCCTGGACCCTTCTGAAGGTCAGGATGATCCCCCTACACCTGGCTCCGCGGGTTGTCCCAGAACCTGGCCAGCCTCACCTGGCTGGACGTGGTCCCCTCACCCGGGTCCCCTCCTGCTCCCCAGCTGCCACCCCTTGCATCAAGGCCATCAGCCCCGGGGAAGGCTGGACCACGGGCGGCGCCACGGTCATTGTCATAGGCGACAACTTCTTTGATGGGTTGCAGGTCGTATTCGGAAATGTGCTTGTTTGGAGTGAGGTGGGCTCCCCCTCTTGAGTCTCCCTGCAGGGCTGGGGACAGGACCCTCCCTCTTGCTGGGATGGGACCTGCAGGCCTCCTCTCTCGCCTCCTCGCAGCTCATCACGCCCCATGCCATCCGGGTACAGACGCCCCCGCGGCACATCCCCGGGGTGGTGGAGGTGACCCTCTCCTACAAGTCCAAGCAGTTTTGCAAGGGAGCCCCGGGTCGCTTCGTCTACACAGGTAAGGAGTCAGGCGGCAGGGGGGAACTGACAGCAGTGGGGCCACGCCCCCAGCCCTCCCACCTCCCATCCCTCCTGATGCGGGACCTTCTGTGACAATCTCTACCTCACCGCAGTCCACACCCACCCACCCCCTTGCTCCAGGAGGAAAAGGCCCTCCCAGCTCCCAAGAACATGCCTGGGCCACGTGCACACCTGCACACATGCACGATGCCAGAGTGAACATTGAATGTGGGGGTTCCTGGATCGTAATCCTCCATGCCTGCTCTGGCTGGCCCCTGGCAGGATCGTCGCTATCAACCCCGCTCTTTATCCCCATCCCCATCAGGAACGGGTGCTGGCTGGGCTGCACAATACACGCACCCCCTGGTGACCCTCGGGGCGCTTGGGTTTAATCGGGAGAGGCTGAGCAGGAGCCGAGGCCAGAGCGCAGGGCAGGGCGGAGAGTCCGCAGGAGCACACCAAGTTGAGCCAGGAGAGACAGTTAGACCCGGGGAAGGTAGGACCTCCTGGGAGAAGAAATAGCAGGTGGCACAAGACCGGAAATAAGTGCTTTATGCTGGGGGAGAGAAAAACCGAAAATGACTACATCTGGAGTCGGAGATGGGGAAAGTGCGTGTAGTGTTCCAGGTCGATGTCAGGCTACCCTGAGCGGGGCGGGGGGAAAAAGAAGAGGAGGAGGAGGAAGGGGCGTGAGGAGAAGGGCTTGGGTTAGGGGAGCCTTGTGGACTCCTCCTCCCCCGGGGACTTAGGAGATTGGGGGCGTGAGTTGCGTGCAAGCTGACCGGAAGGTACTGCTCATTTGAGACCTGCAGATGGAACCAGATACAACCAGAAAACTTGTTCCCCAGTCCCACCCCTGGGAGCACAGACGCTAATAACCACGCCCTATTTCCTAGCTGTCTTTTCTGCTTGCAAATGGGATTGCGCTGTGTGGGCGCTGATGCTTCGCGCCTGGCCGGGAGCCTGGCGCAGTAAGCGTGCGTGGAAGGCGCGGGGGACCCTCTCCTGAACTCACTGGCTGGGCGGGTTTGCCGGCCGTGGTCTGGGCTCGATGCAGCGGAGAGGGGCCGGGTGTCTACGTCCAAGCTACGTGGGGAAGGGGCGCGCCCCAACCCCGCCGCTGCTCCTCCCTCCAGCCCTAAACGAGCCTACCATCGACTACGGCTTCCAGAGGTTGCAGAAGGTCATCCCTAGACACCCCGGGGACCCGGAGAGGTTGCCCAAGGTACTTGGAGGGGCGGGATGGGGTGGAGTAAGGAAGGGCCCACCGCCCGCAGGGGCTGCTCCTCGGTCCCGCCGTCTCCTCTCCTCTCCTCCCCTCCCCAGGAAGTGCTTCTGAAGCGGGCGGCAGACTTGGCAGAGGCGCTGTACGGAGTGCCGGGCAGTAACCAGGTATAGCCCCATGCTGCCTCCGACCCTACGGGCTTTTTCTCACCTGGCCCCTGCAGCCAGCTGCCCGCACCTTGGCCGGCTTCTGTCTTCGCAGGAGCTCCTGCTAAAGCGCGCAGCCGACGTGGCTGAAGCCCTGTACAGCACCCCGCGCGCGCCCGCGCCGCTCGGCTCCCTGGCCCCGAGCCACCCACACCCCGCCGTAGTGGGCATCAACGCCTTCAGCAGCCCGCTGGCCATCGCCGTGGGCGACGCCACGCCGGGAGCCGAGCCCGGTGCGTGCCGCCGCCGCCTGCGCGCTGTCCTGTGGACGCAGCCCCGGCCCTGACCGCGGCTCTCCCCGCAGGCTACGCGCGCAGCTGCGGCAGTGCGTCCCCGCGGGGCTTTGCGCCTAGCCCCGGTTCGCAGCAGGGTGGCTACGGCGGCGCCCTCGGGGCTGGCCTGGGTTACAGCGCGCCGGGTGTGGCTGGCCTTGGAGTGCCCGGGTCCCCCAGCTTCCTCAACGGCTCCACGGCCACATCACCCTTCGCCAGTGAGTGTCCCCTGCCTGTGGTGGGTGGAGGAGACCCAGGGCCGGACCGGGGATAGCACAGAGGGGCTCAGCCCTAACCCGGGAGGTCAACTCTACCCTTGCCCGGAAACGTGCCCGGTCCTCCCTGTGGGTGACCCCTGGCGGATATTGGATCTCAACTCTACCCAGGGAGAGCCTGGGGCCAGAGTGATTGTACCTTTAGCTCCCAGCGCTCGGTTCCCCCCTGAAGCTGACTTTTACTGTAGGAAGATCCTACTACAAACTGGCAGAAGGAAAGGGATCCCCCCCCTCCCCCACTTGGCTGGCTTCTGCCAGAACTTTGGGCAGAGGATGGCGGCCCCTGGTGGAGGCCTGGAGGAACTCCGGGCTCTGGAGAGGCCTGGCGGGCAATGGGAGGACAGAACTCCCCCGCCTGCATTCCGAGTATGAGTGTCCAGATGAGGAGCTGTCCGACACTCAGCAAGTGGCTAGAATTCCCTGAACTCGTTATTTCTCGGCCGGGTGGGACCTGTAGCGTCCTCTGGCTAAGGGTGTTGGCAGGTGCCAGTATCCTACAGTGCATAGAGGGTTAGACAAACTGGGGAACCAGTGGGCTAGCCCTGCTAGTGGGTGCTCACTAGTGGGGGCAGCTAACCGCGGGGTGCATGGGCCTCTTGGGCAGCAGTAAGCATGGCCATCAAGGAGAGGGTGACCCATAAGGCTGATGTCCAAGGAAGCTACTTGCATCCCACCCCGGCCCCGCCCTGTGCCTGCAGAGGGAACAGCACCCAGCTGCACTTAGAAGAGAGGGCCGAGAAAGTGGGTCCAGAGGTGGGTGCTGAAAGATGGGGCCTGAAGCAGGGAGGCTCTGAGCCCCCAGTTCCCATATGGCCTGGCCATCAGAAGAGAGAGGTCCCTGCCCTTTCCTTTCAACATAACCCATGGGGCAACAGGGGGAAAATATCCAGGGCCCAGGCTGAGACCACAGGGACCCGTGTTAAACTGACACGGAAGGGAAAGGGGCAGAGGAACCGCTCTCTACAGGGGAAGTTAGGATGCTGCGTGCCCTATGCACCCCAAATGTCATCCCGGGCTGCTTGCTCTAGCTCCTCTGGGACCCCTGACTAGCCAGGTTATCTCTGGCACTCCAGGGCTCATTGTGTATCTAGGCACCTCCCAGTCCCAGGGGGCTGTAGTGGGAATGCTCACACACACACACACACACACACACACACACACACACACACACACCCCTCTTGCCACTCTGCCTTCCCGGGATGCCCTAGTCATCCTCTCTGCCCTGGGAAAGGGTCCCCCCATGAAGACAAAGACTGGCCCAGGACTCCCAGGGCTCCAGGCCAGCCCCAGCCCCGCAGCCTGCTCTAGTGGGGGATCAGAGTCTGGTGCCTGGTCAGCAGCCCCTCCCCAGGGGCCCCAAGCCGCTGCTCACTCTGGTGCCGTCTCCCTGTTGTGTCTCCCACCGCCTTCCCTGCTACACCTGCCCCTCCCCGCCCCGACCCGGAGTCATGCCCTCTAGCCCCCCGCTGGCGGCTGCCTCCTCCATGTCCCTCCCGGCCACCGCCCCCACCACCAGCGTCTTCTCCTTCTCGCCTGTCAACATGATCTCCGCCGTCAAACAGAGGAGCGCCTTCGCCCCCGTGCTGCGCCCACCCAGTTCCCCAGCCCAGGCCTGCCCCAGAGCCCACGGAGAGGTGCTTCCAGGTGAGTGGTCCATGCTTGCTCACCACGTGAGGCCAGCTAACTACTGTTTGCTTACCTGCCGCTCACGCTGGTCGATCAGTTCTTCCTGGAGGATGCCCAGCAAAAGGCTTAGCAGGTTCCAGCTGGACTGCACTTCCCTGAGCCCCAGCAAGCAGGGTGGTCACCACCCTGGATACCCCGCCCAAGGCGCAGGTCCCAGGTTGGACAAGGTCTGGAGGCAACCTTGCGGTCTGCGCGCCTGCACCATATGTTCACTAGAGGGCAGCACACACACGTTGAAGAGGCTGGGACCAGCTCACTGCACCTGCCTTTCCAGGCTGGCTGCTGTGGGGCAGAGCATTCCCGCCTGCACACAGGTGGGAAAGGCAGAGTGGATGGGAAAGGCGCTGTTTAGCAGAGATGACTGTCAGTGGAGCTGACTGAGAGGGGTCTTCCCCCAGGGGCTCACGGGTGTTTGGGTGCCTGGCACACAGCACCTGTCCAAGCAATGTGGTTGAATTAGTCTAAGACAGATTTTTTAAATACCACTTTCTACAAGCTTATTTGACAGAGAGCTTTCACCCACTAGGTCACTCCCCCCAATGGCCACATCAGCCCCTGGCCAGACTGGGGCCTGAAACCAGGAGCCAAGAAGCCAGGTCTCCCTGGAACTCAGTCCTAATAGCTGGTATTGCTGTTTCTTTTTTTTTTAAGATTTTATTTTTATTACTTTTTCATTGGAAAGGCGGATATACAGAGAGGAGAGACAGAGAGGAAGATCTTCCGTCTGATGATTCACTCCCCAAGTGAGCGCAACGGGCTGATACTATGCCAATCCGAAGCCAGGAGCCTCTTCCGGGTCTCCTACACGGGTGCAGGGTCCCAAAGCTTTGGGCTGTCCTCGACTGCTTTCCCGGGCCACAGGCAGGGAGCTGGAAGGGAAGCGGGGCTGCCGGGATTAGAACCGGCGCCCATATGGGATCCTGGGCGTGCAAGGCGAGGACCTTTAACCACTTGCGCCACCGCGCCGGGCCCTGGTATTGCTGTTTCTTAGGGGCTGCACGAGCAACAAATTGGGGTCAGGAGAATGAAGGGTAATGAAGCTAGTCTGGGATCTGGGAGGACAGCTAAGGATGACAAGGAGCAGAGACCGAGCAACTGGCCCTGGGGGCACAGGGAGCAGCGCAGCACAGCCCAGGAGCTTGAGTTCCAGGCTGTGCCCTGCTCTGCGTACACTGCCTGCAGGAACCACTCCTGCAGCCCCGGTGGGGTTTGAAGAAGGGCAAGGAGGAATGCCCCCTATAAAAGGAGCCTTGGGATAAGGGGAGTGAGCAGTGAAGGTAGGGATGTTAGGGCCTGCTAGCCAAGTGTTTTAGACAGAACACGCCCAGATACAGGCCCAGGATTTTACTTGTTCATGTCTGAGCTGTTCCAGGAGGAAGAGCATTGGTAAGGAGACTGTGTGGCACTGGAGCTAGGAGCTCCGGAAGGCCAGAATACAGAGCACACAGCTGGGGGCAAGGGCAGTGGTGCCAACAGCCCACATGGGCGTTGGTTCAAGCCCCGCGTGCTCCACTTCCCACCTGGTTCCCTACTTAAGTCCCTGGGAAAGTAGCAACAGATGGCCCAAGACGTTGGGCACCCAAGAGAGACCTGGAAGAAGCTCCTGCCTCCTGGCCTCAGATTAGCTCAGTTCTGGCCATGTGGCCATTTGCAGAGTAAACCAGTAGATAGAAGGCCTCTCTGTTTCTCCCTCCCTCTTTCTCTAACTCTGACTTTCAAGCAAAATAAATAACATCTTTAAAACAAAACCTACCTCCTGGGGCTAGCAACTGCTGTGCATCAGCCTCCTGCACGTTGGCGCCCGCCTCACAAAGCCCAGGCACAGACCTCGGGTTGCGGAGGACAGCTGCCTTACCCTTGGGGAGGACACACTTCTGTTCTGCCCCGTTTCCAGTTGTGGACCATTTGTTTTCACACAAGTGTGTCTGGAGGCCCACGGTCTGCATCTGCTGCCCACACAGATGTCAGGACTCCTGGGGTCTGGCCCCTTCCCCGCCCTCCCCTGCTTGGCAGGCTGCTGCCACCTTGCCACCAGCCCTTGGAAGGACACAGGCCTGGGCAGGGGAGCCCAAATCGTGGCTGAGCCACAGGGCTGGAGTACTGATGGCGTCAGCCCCCCGTGCTGTCCCAACCTGGAGAGGGCCAGGCTGCATGGGGCTCACAGCTCCTTTCTCCCTACCATTCTGCAGACCAGCCTTTTGAAGATTCTGACAAGTTCCACTCTCCAGCCCGGGGGCTCCAGGGTCTGGCATATTCCTAACCACGGTAGGTCTCAGCATGGCTTCTTGTTTCTCCAGCCTTGGCCTGGGCTGCCCATGGCAACGATGGGGAGCTGGGTCCAGGGTCTCCCCAATCAGGGCCCACCTGGACAGCTGTGGACCACACATAGCCCACCTCCCTGCCCCCACTGGCCCCTGGTAGCCAGCCTTCCTCCAGGATCTTCTTCCCCCTCTTCCTTCCTCTCTCCTCCTCCACCAGGACTGCAGGTGTTGACCACACTGAGCCCAGACCTCAGATTTGCATTGCCGTGGATGGCATCATGGATAAATCCAGGGTGGTGGCTGCAGACAGACCTCGACCCCTGGAGTGCCAGGGCAGGGGAGAGACCCTGCTGCCCGAGCTCCAGGTCCCTGTGATACCCCCAGGCTTCTGTCACCTCCCTGTCTTGGGGCAGGTCCAGAGCACACACTGTGCTGACAATGCTCTCGGCCAGAGAGCACTGGGGAGGCGGGTCGGAAGTGTGCAGGCCAGGGGTGGTGGTGGTGGCGAGGGGATGTGGGGAAGAGGACAGCTCAGGGAGAGGTGACCGTGAAAGGTCCTGCTTGCATCTGACCCATCTCCCCTGGCCAAGCTTCCCAGCTTCCCTGGGGCCCAAGCTCCCATGGAGCATGTGACAACTGCTCGGCCCTGTGGCTGTCCCTTCCACCCCTCAGGCCCTGTGCACCTCTGCTCACCGCCTCACACCTCCTGAGGGCCCAGGGGGGCATGGAGGATACGGAAGAGCAGGTGTCAGCCCTCCTGCATCTGGGGTCTCCCACTCCCCAGGGAGTGGTGGTGTCCCACGGATTCTGGTGCCCAAGGCCCCACTGCCCCCTGCCTAGGGAGGGGGGCTTCATATTCTGCTAATTTTGGAGCAAGCAACAATAAAGCAGATGCAGGTGCCTGCTTTCTTGGTGTGGGTCTGTTTTTTGTTTGTTTTTGTAACATCACATTTTGTGAGTCTACCTTTCTAAGCGGTTCTGCAGCTCTGGGGTGGGGGGACACAGGGGAGCTGCCAACTGTGCCCCCCAGGCAGTCTTTAGACAGTCCAGGGGCTGCACTGAGCTATCCTTTCTCGCTTCCATTGGCTCTCAGGTCCTAGGCTGGGAAAAGCAGAGCAAGCTAGCAGGTCTGAACGCCCTCTCCTACCTCCCCCCCTCCCGGCCCCCGGCAGACCCCACCCCAGGAACTGGACCAAGGCCACAATTTGGCCACCCAGGACTTAATGCTGCAGCCAGGAAAATGCTGCTGGGAAACAGGACAGAGCACATCCAGTACTTTCCAAAATGTAGAGAGGGACTAAGCGATATGAAGCCTCAAGCAGGCCACAGCTACCACCCATCATGGGATGGCAGGGCTGCCGGTGGCTCCCAGGGCAGCCTCCCAGTCCCCCTCCCCTGACGTAGGCATCTCTGGGTTCACCTGCCTCAGAATCAGTGAGGGAAAGAGGCAAGCTTCTTAGAGCTGGTCACCACCCACCCAGTGCCCCCCACATTCAGCTCCCAGCACTGCCCAGGGCCCTCCAGGCTGAGCCCGTTAGAGGGCTCATTCATCCTGGATATGGGCATGAACAGTGGTCACACCCTGGCTCCCCGGCTGGGTGAGGTGCTGACAGCAATACAATGAGATGTGACATCTGACCTCCATGGTCCCACAACCCTACTCCTGGGAAAAGCAGAGCAAAGCTGCTACTGGAAGCTATACTGCCCTCTCCTTTGCATGTACACACACACACACACACACACACACACACACACACACACACACACACACACACAATTCCAGGTGGGCTGTAGATCAAACCAGACATCTAATAAAGCACCATGCTTTTAAAGATAGACAAGCAGGGGCCCGGCGGTGTGGCCTAGTGGGTAAAGTCCTCCCCTTGAACTCCCGGGATCCCATATGGGCACCGGTTCTAATCCCAGCAGCTCCACTTCCCATCCAGCTCCCTGCTTGTGGCCTGGGAAAGCAGTTGAGGATGACCCAATGCTTTGGGATCCTGCACCCGTGTGGGAGACCTAGAGGAAATTTCTGGCTCCTGGCTTCAGATTGGCACAGCTCCAGCTGTTGCGGTTACTTAGGGAGTAAATCATCAGACGGAAGATCTTCCTCTCTGTTTCTCCTCCTCTCTCTATATATATAGCTGACTTTGCAGTAAACGTAAGTAAATATTTTTTTTTAATTGTCTTGTTGGGGCTGGAAAGCTCAACAAAAGGGGCTGGTGTGGTCGCTCACAGGCTAATCCTATGAAGAAAACTGATGAAGTGACAGTTGAAGCCATCACCAGCAACACTGGCAATGCTGACATCTCCCATGAACACAGGTACCAGGAGTCCTGGCTGTTCCACTCCCCATCCAGCTCCCTGCTCAGGCACCTGGCAAGGCAGCACAAGATGGCCAGGTGCTTGGGTCCCTGTCATCCATGTGGGAGACCCAGATGGAGCTCCAGGCTCCTGGTGTCAGCCTGGGTTAGCCCCAGTAGTTGCAGCTGTGCGGGGAATGAAACAGCAAATGGAAATTCTCTCTCCCTTTGCCTCTCTCTGGAACCCTGCTTTTCAAATCTTTCAAATGTGTGTTTATCCATTCATTCCTTTATTCATTTATTTCTTTTAAAGGCAGGGAGACGGAGAGCTCTCATCCACTGGCTCACTCCCCGAACACAACAGCTGGGAGTGATCCAAGCTGACACCAGGAGTCAGAAACAACCCACCTCACCCACACATCATCAGCCAACGCCTCCTCTGCCTTCCCTACAGCCCAGGATGATGGTGCTGCATTGCCAGCAGACCCACAGTCCTGGGTGGTAGGAACCCGGGCTTGCAAACCCACTTGCTGTTCCCAAGAGCATGCATTATTACAGGGAGCTGGAATGGGAAATGAGCCCAGACTGGAATACAAGCAGGGTGATGTTTTCCAGGTGTCCCCAGCAGTGTCTTCAGCACTATGACAAAGACCCTCCTCTTTGTCAGATTGCAAACCGTGACTTTAACTGCCTAAGTATGTAAGTTTGTCTGCATCTTTCTGACAGGGTATGACAGTTGCTAACAGATAATCCTGTTCTCTGCCTCTTTCTCTCTCTCCCAGCCTTGCAGAAAGCCCTCACCCCTCTCTCCTCCCCCTGGGAAGCTAGGTTTCTGAAAGCAAAACCGAGAGACCCACAGACCGCCTGGGTACTGTGGCCTACTGCGCTGGTCTCTGCCATAGCGTAGGAACACCCCTCTCCCCGCTGAACTCTAGCTCCAGGCTAGCTCTCATGAGTCATCTGTCCACCCCCACCCCCGTTCACTTTCCCAGGGTCAAGGCATCCAAAGCCACCTTGGTAGGCTTTGTGACCTACCAAGCAGAGTGACCACCCCTAGCCTGGCCAGGTCAGTGGGTGCTGGGTGTGGGAGCAACAGGAACATTGGGAGGGCGGGCTGAGGGGTTCCCTCTCTCCACTGCAGATAGAATGGAAGTGAGTTTGTGACTTTAAAGAGGCAGAAGAGGTTCCCCAGTGGGGCAGTAATGGCCACAAGAGCTACAAGACTCTACGCATGTTCCTTTGGACCAATTCCTTGAGTGGGAAGCATCCAAGCATCATTGAATGGAAGGGAAAACGCTCTCAAATAACAGCTCTGTCATTCCTTGGGGCCCAGCACATGAGCATCTTGCCTTTCCTGCCCTCTGCCCTGCCAACTGGGCTGTGAAAGCTGCCCTCAATTCACCCTTGGCTTGAGCCACGGATTGCTCCAGTTAGGCTGCCAGGGCTCCAGGTAGCTCGCCTGAGTCTGCTTTCCAAAGCGCTACAAAACAAAACCAAAAAAGCGCCTTGGGGCCCAGCACTGTAGCATAGTGCCTAAAGCCCTCACCTTGCACACAGCAGGATCCCGTTTGGGTGCCAGTTCATGTCCCAGCTGCTCTACTTCCCATCCAGCCCTCTGCTTGTGCCTTGGGAAAGCACCAGGGGATGACCCAAAGCCTTGGGACCCTGCACCCAAGTGGGAGACCCACAAGAAGCTCTTGGCTCCTGGAATCAGATTGGCTCAGCTTGAGCCATTGCAGCCACTTGTGGAGTGATCAGTGGAGGGAAGGCGTTTCTTTTTGTCTCTCCTCTCTGTGGATCTGACTTTCCAACAAAAATAAATAAATGTTTAATTTAGAAAGGAAAAAAGCCCCCTAGCCAGGCTCTACCCAACACCCGGGCTGCCCTCTCCCTACCTCTTCATGCCCTGACCTGCTCACCCAGCACTCAATCCACCTTCGGGTGGGGACTGGAGGAGCCAGCTCCTTTCAGGGCTGGCACTGACCCAGGGCCAGACCAGTTTTGACTACAGTGGCAAAGGACTGGTTTATCTGGGCAGCTTCCCAAGGAGCCTTCCTGGAACTGGGCCGAGAGCTGCTCTTGCCAAAACAAACGGCGGCTGCCAGTGGGACGCGGCGGATGGCCGCTGAGCAGACCCAGGCCTGGCAGGCCTGCAGCGCTGCCCTGGCTGGACAGAGCCTAGCAGTTCCCCAAGGTCACACCAGGCCTCAGGAGCAGGTGCCAAGAGTTGGCTAAACAAGCATCTCCCTGACTGCTTGCTGGTTTAGGAAGACAGGGACATCCCCTCTCTTGGTTCCATCTGAAACCAAGAAACCTGCCATTAAGCCTCAAGGTCAACAGAATTTCTCCAAAACCACTTCCCCTTGGCAGCACAAGGTGTCAGAGAGAGCGCTTCAAAGTATGCGTGCCCACACGGGCGGGAGTTTGCAAAAGGAGTGTCTAGCACACGGGAGAGTGAACCCCTGCAAGGCTCCTCTGTCTCCCACACAGCCCAGAAGCTGAGGCTGCTGCCTTGCCACCAGGGCCATGGTCCTTCAGCGCTTACCCAAGCTTGTGAGGTTAGGTGGGCTTCCCTACAAGCAAACCCAGACATCAGGAGCACATCAAAGTGCTCCTTGGAGGAGGAGGGGATAGGACAGGGGAAAGGGCTGGGCAAGCACATGCTCTTCAGGGAGTACTGTTCTTTGAGGACCCTCCTGGCAGCAAGCACATGGCTTTGTTACTCCAGGCCAACCAGTGTGTTGGTTGCGGCTGCCAGGGCTGGGTGAAGCATGGCACCTCCTGCATAAAAAGGGTGATGCAGCAAAGGGCAGTCCAGGGCACACAATTCCGAGTCCAGTGAGCGAGAAAGGCAAGGAAGTAGGAAGCTGACAGTGTGGGAGCAGAAGGTGAAAATAAAACAGAGGTATAGCACGTAGAGCCTCCACTGCAGTGCCAGCATTCCATTAGGGTGCTAGTTCGAGTTCCAACTGCTCCACCTCCAATCTCCTTGGGGCTGTGGCCACCAGCCATCCCAGCCTGCTCCTGCCTGTGCCGCCCCAAGCTCCTGGTTGCAAAGCGATGGGCAATGGACAAGTGCTGCTCACAGTAACAGTGACACAGTCTGCAGGAGGTGGCACAGGACCTTTCCTGCCAAGATCCACACACACTGAGGTCTTCCTCTGCACTACACTCAGAGAGCCTGGAAGAATCCCCGAGCCTCACTCTCCAGGTGTCAACAAAGGTCAGGCATCACCACCTTTACCTACCTGCGCTGCTGCCCCACCCAACCTGATTCTGAATGGTGTCGGAGAAAAGCCAATTCAGAAAGCTCTAAATTGGGGCCAACACAATAGTTCAATTGGCTAACCCTCCACGTTTTTTTTTTTTTTTTTTTGAGAGCTGGGGTCCCATATGGGTGTATTCATGTCGTGGCTGCTCCACTTCCTATCCAGCTCCCTGCTATGCTAATGGCCTGGGAAAGCAGTAGAGGATGGCCCAAGTCCTTGGGATCTTGTACCCACATGGGAGACCTGAAGAGGCTCCCAGTTTCTGGCTTTAGATCAGCTCAGCTCCGACTGTTATGGCCATTTGGGGAGTGAATCAGCAGATGGAACAACTTTCTCTCTTCTTCCTTCTGTAAATCTGCTTTTCTAATAACAATAAATAAATAAAAATAAAAGTGTCAAGTAAGACCTGGAGTCTTAAGACTTAATACAACTATGCTGTAATCCTAAATCACCTGTCATGCCCCAAACCAGGAAACTTTCAGACCAAATGAAATAATATACTTCAGCATCTACTGGCCTAGATGACAGAATCAACCAGCAGGGACAGTGGTCCAGGCATGCTGACCCCTCAACACTGTGAATATGCTTAAGATGAATGGAAAACATTGACCTTAGCAAAGAAATAAGAAAGGAACCCAGATAGGTTTTTTTAGGATTGAAAAATACCCTAACAAATCAAAAACCCAGTGGATAGTCTGACCAGTCAAAGGGAGGAGCCCCTGGACTCGGCAATGGAATAATCTGAAATGGCCAAGCCTCTACAGAGAGAAATCAAACTGCAAAATCAATCAGGAGTCTTGTGGCGGGTGTGTGGCCTGACCATGAGGGCTCCAGCTGGGACGCCAGATCCCATGTCAGAGTGCCTGGCTCAGATCCCAAATAAGTAAAAGTTTTGTGTGTAAGAGTGTGTGTGTGTGTGTGTGTGTGTATGGCTTGTTTATTTGAAAGGTAGAGTTACAGAGAAAGAGGGAGAAGCAGAGAGAAGGATCTTCCAGCCACTGACGGGTTCTCTGCCCAAATGGCCACAACAGCCAGAGCTGGACCAGGCTGAAAACAGAAACCCAGAGCCTCTTCTGGATCTCCCATGTGGGTTTATGGGCCCAAGCACTTGGTTCAGCACTGTGTTGCTTTCCCAGGTACATGAGCAGGGAGCTGGATCGCAAGTGGAGGAGCCAGGATCTGCACCAGTGTAATACCTGCTTAAGCCACTTGTGCCACCATGTTAGTTCCTAAATAAAAATCCTTTAAAAATGTTGATTGAGGGCCCAGTGCAATAGCATAGCGGTTAAAGTCCTCGCCTTGAATGTACCAGGATCCCATCTGGGCACTGGTTCTAATCCTGGCAATCCCGCTTGCCATCCGGCTCCTACCTGTGGCCTGGGAAAGCAGTTGAGGATGGTCCAAAGCGTTGGGACCCTGCATCCGCGTGGGAGACCTGGAAGAAACTCCTGGCTCCTTGCTTTGGATTGGCTCAACTCCAGCCATTGCAGCCACTTGGGGAGTGAACCATCAGATGGAAGATCTTCCCCTCTGCCTCTCCTCCTCTCTGTATATCTGCCTTTCCAATATAAATAAATGAATCTTAAAAAAAAAAATGTTGATTGAAAGAGAGAGCCTTCAGCTTTGTTGGAGTTTCAGGAAAGGAGGCGGGGCAGAGCAGAGGCAGCGCTAGAAAAACCGGAGGCTGAACACCTTTGTCACTGGTGCACTAACAACCCCAGTACTGATGAGCCCCCCACACTGAGGAGCCCCCCCTCACTGAAGAGGCCCCTCCCACACTGGGGAGTCCCCCTCACTGAGAACCCCCCTATTGACAAGCCCCCCTCACTGACGAGTCTCCAATGAGCCCCGATTTCGGTACCCCAGCTCCCTTCTCACACAGTGGTACCTGAAGGACCCCTGGCTAAAGAGCGCAGCCGGAGTGAGCTCGTGCGGTCCCAGCCTCCACCCTGTCCCCCTCCCCGCTTCCTCCAGCACACAGACCTTGGGAGCGACGGCTGGGTGGGCTCCTCCTCCAAGCTGCCTGCACCCCTCAGACGCTGTCTCACAAGCTGAAGACCGCTTCTGTCTTCTTCACAGGTCCCAGCTCCAGTGGGTTACATCTCAAACCCAGCACATGCGATAGCTTTGTGCCAAACAGGAAAAGGTGTCCTTTCCTCACATTCTTTAGAGTATTTTATTGGGGCTGGTGTGGTGCATAGCAAGCTAATCCTCTGCCTGTGGCACCAATATCTTCTATGGGCACCAGTTTGAGTCCCTGCTTCCCATCCAACTCCATGCTTGTGGACTGGGAAAGCAGGAGAGGACAACCCAAAGCCTTAGGCTACTGCACCCACACGAGAGACCTGGAGGAAGTCCCTGGCTCCTGGCTTTGGATTGACTCAGCTGTGGCCATTGCAACCACTTGGGCAGTGAACCAGCAGATGGAAGATCTTTCCCTCTGTATCTCTTTCTCTGTAAATCTGCATTTTTTGTATGTGCTTTTATTTATTTTTTTTAATAAATCTGTATTTCCAATAAAAATAAATAAATCATGGGCCCGGTGCAGTAGGCTAGTGGCTAAAGTCCTTGCCTTGCAATATACTGGGATCCCATAGGAGCACTGGTTCATGTCCTGGCTGCTCCACTTTCCTTCCAGCTCCTAGCTTGTGGCCTGGGAAGGCAGCTGAGGATGGCCCAAAGCCTTGGAACCCTGTCCCTACACGATAGACCTGGAGGAAGCTCCTGGCTTCTAGCTTCGGATCAGCTTGGCTTGGACTGTTGCGTCTGCTTGGAGAGTGAATCAGCAGAAAAGAATACGTTTCCTTCTCTCCTTCTCTCTGTAAATCTGACGTTCCAATAAAAATAAATAAATCTTTTAAGAAATAATTCAATAAAAAATAAATAGTAAAAACCAACTTTTGTATTCAAGAAGAGAAACCCATGCAGGTGCAGGGTCCCAAGGCTTTGGGCCATCCTCGACTGCTTTCCCAGGCCACAAGTAGGGAGCTGGATGGGAAGTGGGGCTGCCGGGATTAGAACCGGCACCCATATGCAATCCCCGCTGTGTTCAAGGCTAGGACTTTAGCCGCTAAGCCATCACGCTGGGACCTGAATCTTGTACTTTCTAGGTGAGTCTGCAATCTAGCCTGACAGGACTTGCCCCCAGTCCCAGCACCTGCTAGCCAATGCTATAGCAAAGCCAAATTAGCCCGCACCATGGCTCCTGCACACACCAGTGGATACGGTTAACAAGCCCAGACTGGTTCTCCCCCAACCCAGTTCACATGCAGGCCAGTGGGTTTTGCAGTCCTGCCCCACCTAGTCTGCCCCAGTCCTAGGTCTCATACTCACCAGCGGGAAGAGTGGCCCAGCAGGGGAGTCCTCGTAACCCACCCTACCTGGCTCACCACGCCCCGAGTCTTACACACGCTGGTAGATGCCACGGCCTAGTCTGGAATGTCTTGCCTCACCTTGACATTCACCAGCATGTGCTGCAACCTGGTGTGGCCCGGTTTGCCCTTACAGCCAGCTCATGCTGGTGGGTGCTGCATCCTAGCCCAGCCTGGACTGCCACCAATCCTGGCTCTACTATGAACTGGCTGGTGTTGTGCCCCACCCCGGCCTGTTCTATACCCCATCCTGGTTCTCACGTCTGCCAGTGGGTCTTATGAACTGGCTCAGCCTGGCCCAGCCCCAGACTTGAGCCATAGTATATCAGTGGGTGCTGTAACCTGGCCTGGTCTGTGCTTCTCCCAGCCTGGGTTCCTGCACTCAGTAGAAGGAACTGCATCCTAACAGAGGATTTCCTCAAGATCTTCTATCAGGTCACCTCCCAGTGACAGATCTCAAACACACTGCACACTGACGCGGGTCTCCATTGTGCTCCTCCCTAATGTGCTGCCCTGCCACTCTCTGGCTGGGAGCCCCGGGAGGTTGGGCAGGGCAATGAACAGGCACTCAGAGAATCGAACAGCCTTGTAGTGAAGCCTGTAACCGCTGTGGGGCAGAGACCTCCGTCCAGCGTTGGGTTGAAGAGCCCAGGGAGATCCTCTCACCACATCATGTGGCTAGAAGTCAACTAAGAGTCTGCAAGGTGTGTGTGCAGAGCAGGGACCGGGGAGGTGTGCTGAGGCCTGCCCTAGGGCGCGGGGCCGGAATATAGAGATGCCAGCAAGATTGGCACAGGCGCCAAGTAGCTTTAATGAGCCTGAGCACCCCGCTTCCCCAGATTTGTCCCCCTCTGTTCCATTTCAGTTCCGGCAGGTCCAGCCTGCCCAAAGTCCTGGGGCGCTTTCAGCCCGAGCTCTCAGTTCTCCTGCGTCCTCTCAGCCGCTCCAGGCGCCTGCGCAGGTCCGGGGGCAGCTTAGCCCCTGCTGCCAGCAGCTCTCGCAGTCTCTGTTTGGGGGTCTTGGTAAGCTGGAAATTACAGGGAACAGGGCCCTCTTCAAAGGTGACCCGGCAGCTGCGGGTCACGGAGTGGTAGCCCTCAGCACTGGCAGTCACCATATAGTCCCCTGGGGTCAGCAAGCGCCAGTAATCTCCGCCCCACGCTGTGGAGATTGAAGGGCAAGGTCAGGGCCACTGGGCTAACACCAACCCCCACGCTTCCCTCCGCCCTCTCCCCTACACACCCGTGGTGACGTCATGGTTGATTCCGTCCACAGAGATGACTGCATCCGCGATCCCGAGCTCTGTGTCCTTGTCCCGCACAATGCCCGCAATGCCCATGCGCACCTGGCGGGGGGTGGGAAGCTTTTGAGTGGTTGTCTTCCGTGGGAGGAGGGGCTCAGCTCCCCTTGTAGCACGTGGAGGAGCCAGTCTCCTACCTTCCCAAGTGACAGCACTTCTGGGAAATCCCATCCCAGCTGCTAAATCACATCTGGAGTAGTGGGAAGACAACCCCAGCCCCTACATCTTGGGGCCTGCCCAGGGTCCAGAACCCTTGGTTACGCTCAGGGGCCCCGGTTCCTATGGTCCCTATGCCAGGGTAGCTGCTGCTCCTACCCAATGTCATTTCTGAGGACAGAAGCTCTAGGATGCCCCGTGGGGGCCACTTCCCCCAAGCTATGTCTATCTGACGCTGCCTTGCAGGCTGACTGGTCTTCCCATTCTAACTTTCCAGGGACAGATGGGAGTCAAGTGTGGCCTGTGGCATCATGGAAGACACACACCAGTTGGACTCCCACCCGGACAGCCCCTGGCAGGAGCTGCAGCCTAAACAGAGACACCCAGCAGCCTCGGCCCCCACCTGCTCCAGGTAGGTGAGGAGGGCGTCTTTATTGTTCTCCCACTCTTGTGGCAGCTCGTTCTCATGAGGGAACTTGTCACAGGACAGCTCCACGGTGACCTCAAAGCAGTTGGTGTGTAGGTAGCTGAAGTCATTCATGCCTGGGGAACCAGAAGGCGCAGACTAGAGGTCCCACCCTCCCAGTGCACTCCTCTGGGAGACACTTGGAACTGGGAGCTGACACCATGTTGTGGGCGGCAGGAGGGGGGTCAGGGCAACAGGGGCAGGGCTGGCTCATGCCCTGAACACATACTCCCAGGCACTGTGTGCCAGTCGGCGCCATTGATGACGTTGCCATGCAGGGTAAAGTCCTGGCTGTGGCAGGGCCGGCGATCTGTGTCCTGCATGACCCGGTTGGTACCAGCATACACGGTGCTGAGCCAGCGGAAGACAGCATCGTCTGCTGTGGGTGTGAGTTCACGGGCAGCCCATGGGGTCCGAGTCATGTCAAATGGGTAGGACACCACAAGCTCACCCCCATGCAGGTTGGCACTGAGCACAAAGGGGATCCGCTTCATCCAGTCAATAACTGCCCATGTCTCAGGAGCCACCTGCAGGGGAAGGGGAAGCTCAACAGGGGTGGGAGATGGTCCACCCCTCTGGGTCCCCTCCTCACCCCAGAAAACTCACAGTGGCATTGGGCAGGGTGTAGTAAGTAGGCAGTGGTAGGTGATGATTGGGGACGGTATGGGGTACCAGCCCATCATCCTCTGCTTCCCACAATGGGGTGTTGAGGTCAGCGAAGTTGTGGTTAAGATCAATGCCCTGGTAGGTCCAGCGGCCCTCTGCCCAGCCCACCAGCTCCGAGCCCTATCAAGGGAGAGGTTTGTTCAAGCAAAGCAGGCTCCAGACACCAGAGCAGAAGGGGCAAGGTAGTTCCTGTGCCAGCTGGCCAGCATGCCTACCCGGCGGTAGGCAGTCTCATAGCCATCAGGGTTCATGGAAGGCAGCAAGTGGATGCGTGTCTCGGTGAGCAGCCGGGTCACTCGAGGGTCGCCCCGTAGGTACTCCTGGCACAAGAACTGCATCAGTAGCAGGAGCAGCTCCCGTCCCAGGGCCTCATTCCCGTGCATGCCGGCCACGTAGCGTACCTCAGGCTCTCCTAGGGGACACACAGCGTAACTCACGGGTGCCTCCAACCAAGACCCTGCCCTGGGAGGGACCCCTCCCCAGCCCACCCCTGCCAGTACCCAGCTCATGTTCCCCAGGCTGGTCTGACATCTCCATCACATACAGCTTCAGGCCCTGGTGGCTCTTCCCGATACTGTAGATGCGCGTGATGTTGGGACATTGTTCGTTCACCTGCTTCATGAGCTGGTGGGGGAGGAGGAAGGACACAGGACAGAGTGACCAGAGGCTGAGACACCCTGTGGCCATGGACATACTTATAACTATCAGAGCTGTGGGGGCAACATGGGATGGCTGGGGCAGTGGGGGCAACAACAGACAGGGAGGTAGGGGAAGGTCAGAGGAGTGGTTCCATTACAGGCATGGGGTAGAGTTTAGGAAAGGAGGGCACGAGTGCTCTGACCTTCCTCATGGCCTTGTAATCGTGATGCCGGAAATCCAGCAGATCGGTGGATACCGCAGCAGGGGCCTCAGGGAGTAAGTTGTTCGGGTCTGGTGGAATGGGGGAAGAGGTGGTCTGGGTGAAGGGAGAGTTCCTGATAAGGATGCACCTGCCTACACAGCCTCTGCCCAACACTCACCTGACACTGGGCAGGCCAGGATCTCTGCCCGGAGGCAAGGTGAGCCTTCCTGGAGCCAGGTCTGGGGCAGCAGACGAATGAAGCGAGCCACCTGAGGCTCAGGAAGGAGGTTCAGTACAGGAGTTTCGGGGTCTGAATTGGCAGGAAACACCTGGAGGAGGGGCACCAAGTGCTTGGTCAGGACCGGTCGAACCCCTGCAGTCTGGCCAGGAACGGGGAAACTCAGGTCCTTGAACACCTAGTCAAACCTTCTGTAGTGGCCCCAGCTAGAAATCTGTACTCTGCATCAAACACAGACACTGGCCATGACTCCTGCCTATGGGCCCCTTTCCAGCTGGGTCACAACTCCTTGGACACAAGGCCATGCAACACAGGAGCAGTCTGTCCTCAAGCTGTCCAAAACCCTCTACTGCAGCCTAATGCAAAAAGGGGTACAGGATGGGGCCAGTGTAGTGGCGAATCAGGCTATTCCTCCTGCCCTATGGTGCCAGCATCCCATATGGTTGCTGGTTTGTCTCCTGGCTGCTCCATTTCCCATCAACTCCCTGCTTGTGGCCTGAGAAAGCAGCAAAAGATGGCCCAAAGCTTGGCCCCTGCTCCCACGTGGGAGACCCAGAAGAGGTTCCTGGCTCTTGGCTTCCTATCAGCTCAGCTCTGGCTGTTGTAGCCATTTGGGGAGTGAACCAGCAGATGGATCACTCTCTGACACTCCTCTCTGTGTAAAAATCTGCTTTTCAAATAAATACAAGTAAATCTTTAAAAAAAAAAAAAGGCGGGGTGCAGAAAATGGCAAAGCCAGAAGTCCCACAGTACAAAGGACCACAGTCAGAGGGCGCTCCAGCAGGAGCTGCAGCACAAAGCGGGACCTGCCAGCAATGGAGTTAATGGAAAAGATGGATGCAGCGGTATCCCAGAGCAGCTGGGCTCCTGAGGCTGCCTGCCGGGGTGCCAGCTACCACAGATCCTGACAGACATCATTCTACTCCTAGGATGCTCAAATGAAGTCCTCATCCTTGTCCCAGCCCAGCCAAGCCCGTGACTCCCAGCACAGATGGCCCTGGCTGTTATGGGCACACTCACCGCGTCCATCCCACTGCTGTGGTTCTTGCTCGCCCACCAGGTACGACTGTCGTTGCTGAACTGGACCTTGTACGATGTGACCCAGTCATACCTTACAGGAGAGGTGGGGAGACATTGTTGGTGCTCTCGGGGACTCCTGTGTCCACAGGGGACTTCCCAGCCTGAGGCTGGCCTGCCTCACCTCCACACAGAGTTCCTGCCCTGTGTGATGACGCCAGAGAAGCGGCTGAGGGTCTTGGCATCCACCTGAAGCCATGGCTCACTGTCCTGCTGCTCGGCACACCAAGCCCCGTCGTAGAGATCACCATCCTCCAGGCCAGACTGTGGCATAGGATTTGGTGGTCAGGCCCAGGTGGGATGCCCTCCAGGACAGAAAAGATGGTCCCAAGAGTTTCTCTGCCTCCTTCATCCCGCCCACCCCCAAAAGACCCTACTTGGTGCCAGGGCTGCCAACCTGGATGTTAAGCCGTCCTCGGTGTGGTCCAAGACCAAATGATTGGCTGCTGGATGCCTCGAGCTGGCTGTCTGAAACTCGCAGGGACTCCAGACCTAATGGGGGACAACCTGAGGCAGGGACAGGGCAGTGAGAAGCACTCACAAGGCAGTCAGAGTAGCCAGGAAGCTGAGCTCCTGTGCTCGTCCAGCAGGGGGAAGGCCTGCACCCATGAATATTAAGAGCTTGAGGGGGACGCACAGGTGCAGCAAGGCCCCGGGGTACCTGGTGCCCAGGATGTACCTGGTTCTGGCTTCCCAAGAGAGGGGAGGGTCACTGCAGGCCTGGCAGTCCCAGAAGGTCTGGTAGTCACTGGGTGTCTGGGACGAGTTGGTTTCTTTCGCTTCTTCACCACGACCTTCTTTTTGATGACTCGAATCCGGATGTGCTGGTCTAGGGTCCCTGCAGCAGAGGGAACAGGCACAGCCCCAAGGGAAGCAGGCATGTTTTGAAACACCATTGGAAGGGTCTGCCCATCCAGGAAGGCAGATAAGACCCCAGCAAACTCCGGCAAGAGACTGTAAGTGCCTCAGCCTGCGGCATGAGAGATCTGCAAGCCAACCTCAGCCTGCTTCGTCCGTCCCACGCTTGGCTCCTCCTGGATTGCTAGACTCAGCTGCGCACTGAGACAGACTCATCTCTCACCCTCCACCCTCACAGACAGCCACACGCAGCCACTGGGGACAGTTCAGCTGCATTTGGTTGGTAGTCCCTGTGCTTCTACACCAGCTGTTCCAACCCCTACAATACCACCCATCATCCCTAATTCATTCATTTATTTATTTATTGTTTCCTTTGAGTGTTCACCCAGAGTCCTTTGGAGATGACTTCTGTGGCTCCATCTAGGAGCCCTATTACACCTCAGGATTTGCCAGGGTACCAAGGCCCTGGGGGTGGGGCTGGCACAGTCTTGCTCACAGCAGGGGCTGCCAGGTCCCCACAGCAGCCTCCAGACTACACTGCATCTTTTGCCATCTGGCGTCCCTGTGCCTCTGCCCATGCCAGCCCCTTCCTGGCGACTCTCTCCCTGGCCACTCCTCCTGCCCAGTGCTTCTGGGGCCAGCTGCTCATTCCTCCCTAGAGGCCCTGGGCTGCTTTCTTCCTCTCCCACACCGAGGTGGTGCAACCTTCTTCCCTTCCTCTGTCCCCTCCCCCTCCAGCCCTAGCTCCCAGACCCTCTCCTACACAGCCTGGCTTTGCACCTCCTTCTGACCTCTTCTTGGCTCTGGCCTCAATTTCTTCAGCAGGGAAGTGGCGGGGAGAGGGCTGGGGCTGGAGGAGCCCCAGTGCACTGCTGTCTGTCCTGGACTGCTAAGTCCCTCCCCTTGGAGCTGCTGAGTCAGCAGCCATTGCGAGTGTCTGAGTGTGCATGTGTGAGTGAGTGTGTGCAGCTGGGGAGGGGGCGCCCCGCGGGCTGGGGCGAGTAATGCCAACTGTGTCCCCGCGGGCTGGGGTGAGTGATGCCAACTGTGTCCCCGCGGGCTGGGGTGAGTGGTGCCAACTGTCCGTGTATCTGTGTGTGCATCTCTGTGTGAAAGAAAGAAGCTGTGTATGTGTGTGTACCCGTGCGCACGCATCTGGGGAAGGTGCGCCCCACCGCCTGGGGGAAGTGGTGCCACTCTGTCCGTGTATTCCTGTGTGAATCTCAGAGTGCATATGTGTGTATGAGAGAGAGGGAGAGAGAGATGTTTGTGTGTGAGGGTTGGGGAGGGGGCGCCCTCCCGCTGTGCCAGGGCCGGAACATCGGGCGGGCAGCCGATTTGCCCAAGAAGTGGCAAGGGCTCTGTGGCTCACCGTTAGCCTTCTCCGTCGGCGGCGGCACCGGGCTGCTCCGAGGGGCGGGGGTCGAGCCTGTGGCTCCGGTGGTCGTGGGCGGCGCCAGATCCAGCCCGGGGGTTCCGGACGCCCCTAGCCCCTGGCCGACCGCTGGCGCGCAAGCGGCCAAGGCGAGGAGCAGGAGGCCCCGCATGGCTGGCGTCGGGGCGGCGGCAGCCGGTGGGTCTTCTCTTCCTGCCGGATCCGCGCAGCCCCCCGCCCCTTCCTGCAGCCTCCGCCCGCCCACAGCTCGCTTGCAGGCCTAGGACCTGGGATGAGGGGCGGGCCCGCCAGTGGGAGAGGGTGTACCCCGGCGGCTGCTCGGGCCTTGGGGACCCTCCCCCGGCGCCCGTGCAGCGCCCTTTCGGACCCGGGCTGCTGGCTTCCCCCGTGTTCACTTTGGGCCAGCTGCAAAGCCTCGCACTTATATGCATCCCACGAGACGGTGGGTCCTGCTGTGTGAGTTCCTACCGGGCGCTTTACCCGGGTCCTCCCATCGAACGGGTAAACTGAGGCTCGCAGCGGTCATCGAACTGGCAGGGTGACCAAGCTGAAACTTGGGGGGAAGGAAGCCACGACCCGAAATGGAAATCCGTCCAGGGTCCCAGCACCCCGCCGCATACCGGGGAGTGATTAGCGAGTCATGGGGAAACTGAGGCAGCGGGAGGGCGGGAGCTCCAGGAACACCGAAGGACAGCCCTTTGGGCACACACCCCCCAACTCTGCCCCGAGACCGTGCTTCCCCTCCCCCACGCGCGGCCCCGCCTCCCGCCCTGCGGCTCCGCTCGCCTGACTGCCACGTTCGGGCTTACATAACCGGGAAGCGGGGCCAGAACCGATACCCGGCGGGGCTGGGCTGGGAGGTGGTGGCCCGGGACTGGATGCGCCCCCTGCCCTTCCCTTCCCTCCCCTCAAGGAGCTGGCGGCCCTGGGTCTCCGTCCTTCCTTTGGCCTTAGGTAACCCCATCGTCCCTGTCCCTCCGAGGGAGCCCTTATGGGAGGGTAGGGGTGGCTCTCCAGATATAAGAAAGCCCATACCCTGCGTGCCTCTGGCCAGAGTCTGATCTTTGTTGCTGTCCCCACGGAAGCGACACCCAGAAGTGACCCCGATTCCTCCCAAGCGCTAAGGGGGCTGTCTGCAGAAATCATTCCAATCACCACCACCCACAACCCCTCCAATCAGTATGCTAACCCGAGATCGCAGGGTCCCTAGAAAGGAACATCGGGGTGGCTCTCCAGGACCGGGTCGATCCCTTCGGGGACACAAGTCCTGGAGCTCTCCCCTCCTGGGTGCCCCAGGAGAAGTCCTCAAAAGGGAGTCGCGGCTCGGGGCGCATGCGCTGCCAGCTCCCTCCCTGGAGCTCCGTGTCAAGTCCAAGGCACAGGCGAGGGGGACACAACGGGAGCCACGCCGGAGCCGGGAGCGCGTGGAGGAAAAGCAGCCCAGCATTGGACCGAAGGAGGGAGGCGGCGGCTTGGGCGGGTCCAACCTTCTGCCACCGCCCAAAAGCTGTCACCTCCCGGCCTTGGCCCCTCCTCCCAGGTGTGAAGAGGCCAGGCCAGCACAAGGAATCGGACTCCGGAGTTCCTGACAGCCAGAGCGTCCTCCAGGCGGGAAGCAGCCCAGTTGCATTCAGTGTTCAGTGTTTGCTCACCTTCCAGCCTATTGGGGACCAGGTTTTCCGCAGCCTTCTCCCTCCTGTCAGTTCTCCTGGATGCTTTGCCCCTGGTAACACCGGCCTTTTAGCTTCTCCTGCAATGCAACAACCCCATCTAGCCTCCAGTCGCTGCCCTTGCCCACGGAATCTGAGCCCTGGAGGGTCAGACGTGCCTTGATTGTCTCCTGCTCACAAAGCCTTCTTCTTTTAAAAGATTTATTTATGTTTAGTGGAAAGGCATATTTACAGAGAGGAGAGACAAAAAGATCATCCATCCACTGGTTCACTCCCCAAATGACTGCAACAGCCTGGGCTGAGCTGATGTGAAGCCAGAAGTTTCTTCTGGGTCTCCCACGTGGGTGCAGGGTCCAAGGCTTTGGCCCGTCCTCTGGTACTTTCCCAGGCTACAAGCAGGGAGCTGGATGGAAAGTGGAGCAGCTGGGACACAAACTGGCATCCCTTTGGGATCCTGGCATGTGCAAGGGAGGATTTGACCACTAGGCTATCGCACCAGGCCCCACAAAGCCTTCTTAAGACCCCTGGGACTACCGCAAGCTCTGCCCCACCATACTGTTCTCTGCCCCTTTCTCCACTGAGTCTTCAAGGCGTTCAGCATTACCCCAGATGCTCTTCTCTTATTCCCAGGCCCTGTCACCTGTCAAGAGGAAGCTCCCTTCTCCAAGAGGCTCTGCCCCTACACGTTCATGACTGCACCTAGAACAGCACCTAGTACCGAGTTAGTGATCAGAAAGTCTGTGTAGATGGGCAAGGTTAAAAGGCAGAAAGGAGACTGAGATGGGAGCCAATGTTGGGGTCTTTTCATAAGACCCCTACTGCTGGAGCTATAGCTGTCCAGAAGTGACCCACAGTTAATTATTATACTAGTGTCCGGCTGCTGGAAACTCCAGGGAAGATAATAAGACCTACAGGTGCAAGCCACGGTCAAGCTAAGCTTGACGCAGTGCATGCCAGTGCCCCAAAGCCTTTTGTCTTCATGGAAAACTACGTCAGTAAATGGTCACAAGATAGTTGAGGTCGGGAGTCGTGACATGGGAGCTAGACTGCTCGGCACCTGTGGCTCTGCGTGGATGGATTCAGTGGCTGAAAAACAAAGCCATAAGTCACCATGTGTGTTTCAGATTGTTCTTATTGATATCCTGCATTACTGTATTGTCTGATGTTCTCCACAAGATCTACACTCACGGGGTCTTCTCTTTCACTTTTCCTCCTGCCACTATGGCAGGGGGTAGGGTCATTTCTATCTCAGAGCCCTCTCCTGTCACTAGGACGGGAGTCTCCTTTCTCAACTTTTCTAATAAATCTTTTTTTAAAACTAAAAAAAAAAAAAAATCTACACTCACTAGTACTATAGCCCCAGCTTTCTGGAGATCACAGTGGTACTGCATGGTCCAAGGCCCCCAACACAAATCCTGTGTTTTGGCACAGATGGTGGTCCTTGACCCTAAGGGAAACAGACACTTGTGTTAGCAAAATCCCACCAGGACTTCCAGGTTAGTCCCCAGGATTCCAGCAAGGGCCAAACTGCTCTTGGCAATAAGTGAGCTTCGCTTACTGAGTTACTGGTCCCCCCCCAAACACACACCCCGAAATTGTGAGTGGTCAACGCTCACAGGTGGCGGTAGTCTCGTCCCCAGACAATGCCCTCAGGAGATAGGAGGTCTGGCACCTGGAGGGCCACACTTCTCCAGCTGCTTCCCTCCCTGCCTCCACCCCCTTTGGTACACTTGGCCTTCCAGAGCCACCCTGCAGCTAAGAGCACATGCTAGCATGGCTCCCTGCCTGCGCTGGCCTGCCTCCCTCCTCGCCCATCATTGAAAGCTGTACTCCAGAGAGTGTTCCCGCCATAAATTATGTGTATAACAATTTCCAACACAGGCTCTGTTTTCAGGAATTGGGACCCAACATCTGGCATAGTGCCTGGCACACAGGAAACAATAAAATGATTGTTGAATGAACAGGGAACTGAGAAAATCACAAACTGAATTCTTGCAGGAATGTGGGCAGAGAGTCTGGCACACAGGAAATCTTGAGAGAGGTGCTCATACCTGCTCCTGCCACGCCTTGCCATGGCGGGGAGCTTTGCTGCTGTGAGTAGGACCCTCAGTTCTGTGTGTGCAGGAGTGCAGTCTTGTGGATGCATCCAGAATTGATCAGGGCCATGGGGACTAGCAAATCTTAAGCCTCTATGCTAATTTGCTCATTGACAAAGATTCTGGGAACTTACACAAAACAACAGTGTTGCTGTCAGAGCCTTTTTCCCCTGGGATGAATCTACGCCACAAGTCCAGTTGCTGGATAAGTGACAAGATTGGGGCAATGGTGCCAGGGACAGTGGCACTGGCTCTGTGGATGGTCAAGCCATCGCCTAGGCAGGCCCTTCTGGAGCCAAAAGGCAGCCTGGTGCTTGTTCCACCTCTCCCTCCCTGGTGGTTGAGCGGCCACTGCCTCCCTTGGTCCTGCCCCCATCAGTTCTCCTTCAAAGTATGATATGAGGACAAAGTGTAAGTTCTGTGAATTCTGACTCATCCTCATTCTTGGCTCATAGGTCAATGAGACAGAGACAGACTGGAAGCTCTGCAGGCATCACCCTCCGACAGATTCCCAGTAGGGGAGGATTTCCTTCCCAGGTGGTCGTCCTTGCATTCCGTGTTTATTTTCCTTACTTTCGTTCTCAGCAGGTGTTACCTGGTTTTACATTGCTATAGCGAAATGCCTGGGGCAGACTAACTTTATAAGGAAGTTTATTTAACTCATAGTTTTGGAGGCTGCCAATTCATACAGAAAAGTGAAGGCTCTGGCAAGGACTTGTGGCACATCATCGTGCACCTGCTGAAGGAAGCAAACACATCTCAAAACAGGAAGCCAGAGAGAGACTAAGGTCAGGCTTGGGCTGTATAGGGATTTGCTCTCAAAGGGCTCACTCCAGGGCATGTGAGAGAGCAGTGGTCCCCTATGACCTAAGCACCTCACTTCTTTTGAAATTATATAATTTCATTCTATTGGAAGCATAGGAACAAAGATCTTCCAGCTAACTAGCTGATTCCCTCAAAAACTTGCAACTGCCAAGGCTGGGCCAACCTGGAACTCAATCTGGGTCTCCCACGTGGGTGCCAGGGACCAAAGTACATGAGTGTCACCTGCTGCCTCTCAGGATGCCCTAATAGGAAGCTGGATCAGAAACCAAGTGGCTTGGACCCTTACGCAGGCACCCCAGTGCAGGTTGTGGGAGTCCCAAAGCAGGGTGTTAGCCACTGCATGGTCAACCACCTTGCCTGAGGCCTCACCAGTTAGAAGCTCCCACCACCTTCCCACAGTGCCACACCCTGAAAACCAAACCTCTCCCCTCAACCTACCATAAGCAGTGGGGGGGACGTGAAAACCAGACCCAACCCATCACTGAAGGTAACCTTAATTTCCAGTATAGGGTTATTATATTGTAGTCCCCTCCCCCTCCCCCCATTTCGGGAACTCCAGGGTTCATAACACCTCCCACAAAGCCCCTCCTGCCCCCACCAGGAGGAACACGCTTCGGGCGCCCAGCCCCCGGTGACTTCCTGGCAGAGCTAGTCTCTGCAGTCCATGGTCACATTCCTGCAAGATTCCCACAGGCACCGCACCCATCTCAGGAAGACAGCTGGGGACATGGGGCTTGTCTTGCTCTGAACACCTGGCTCCCTGGGAAGAAGATAGTGTGAGGGTAGAGGAGCAGCAAGACAAGAGGGTGAGCATTCATTCTCTGAAGCTGCCAGCTTCCTGGCTGATCCTTCTCAGGGCTACCAGATGCTGGCTGAGGCCAGGATAGCAGGGGCCCACCTGGTGACAGGTCACAATGGCCTAACTGTAAAGTCCCCGGAATGGCTGGTGAAGTGAGGAGTGGTGTGAGCAGGGCTCCGTGGGTGAGTGGGGAGGGAGACATTCCCGAGGAGCCCAGCTCCCCACTCTCCAAGCTCCGCCTTGAGTGTCAACTGGGGCCCTGCCCCCTTCTACCCTCCCCACACCCCCACTCTCCTCCAGCCCTAGCTCTTCCCATCACCTCCACTGCCCTCCATGACCCAGCTCTGCTTACGCAGCCCCAAAGCCCTAGCAGATGCACCCCTTGTCCCTGCCAGGGTCCTGGGTGCTGGGGAGGGGCCGGGGAGTGCAGTGTGGGCACATATGTCGTGTTGGGAGCCCAGTTGGCCCCGGCTCCTGGACAGTGCCCTAGGGCTGGGCGCGCTGGGGATGACGGTTTGTGTCATCTTTGCCATGGTTGGCCCGGCCTTGCTGCTGCTGCTGCTGCTCAGCAGCTTCCTTGCCTTTGACTTGCTCCACAGGTAAGTAGGGCAGCAGCCGGGCAGGTGGACAGGCAGGCGGGCAGGTGGACAGGCAGGCAGGCAGTGAATAGGCAGGCTGGGGATTGCCCTCGCTGAGCTGCTAACCTCTCTCCCTGCAGGCCTACAGACCCCACCCTGCCACAACAGCGACTTCTCATCAGGGACCAGAGTCAGGGAGCTGGTGAGGGTCTGGGATGGCAGGAGACTCATCTCCACCCATCGGGGCCTGCTCCCACACAGCTCAGGACCCAGGATGCACTGCTTGTGCTGCTCATGGGGCTGGGGCTGCTCCTGGTAGCTCACGGCATGCCCTTGACTTTGCTGGGCCTGGCTTTCTGCCTTCACCCTTGGGCCTGAATGCCCTCTCAAAATAAACTGTCTGTCCAACCTCCTCCCTGCCTCGATCCTGAGCCATGGCATAGGTGGGGACAAGAGAGGGGCAGGGAGCACCTTCTTCCCATCCTGACCCTTGGAGGACCTGTGGTCTCATGCCTTCGGGATTGGCCCTCTGGATGTGAGTCTTGGGGCTGTAAGAGAAGGTGGGATCCCAGGCAAGGAGCTCCAGGGTGGGGTGCATAAACCAACTCAGAGCCTGGGAGGCACCCTGCAGGCCTCCTTGCTGTTGCTAGAGAATGACAGTCCCAAGAGAAGGGCTTGCAGTGGAATGTGGAGGTACTGAAGTCGGTCAGCCAGCAGAGAAGAGAGGGAGCAGACAGAGACAGGGCTTCCTACAACAAAGCATATGGAGTTGCACCACATGGTCCTGGTTCGGCCAGACTTCCTTGACAACCTGCAGGCTCCACAGGGAGGGACTCAAGTGAGTCCATGCCTCGCAGTGACTCCTTCCTCTCTTGAGGGGACCCCACCCCACCCCACCCCAGCCCGGGTCACAATGGGGCTCCCCTGGGGAGGGTGGGGATGTTTCAGAATGGGGAACTAGGATCCGGCTGCCAGGTCGTCCTGAGTGTAGCAAGAGGCAACATGACTTAGCAGGCTCTGCCCACAGGTAAGTCCCAGCCCCCAGCTCAAAGCCCCAACCCAGCACCCTAGTGCACCTGCATCCCAGGGTCTTGACCCATGCACCCCAGCCCACTCCAAACTGCCCAGCGCCCTGACTCCTGCACTCCAGCCCACTCAGAGCCCAGGGCCCTGACACCTGTACCCCTGTCTGCCCCAGTGACTTGACCCCTGAACTCCAGCTACCCCTGGCAACCTGACCCCTGCACCCCAGCCTACCTAGGGCCCTCACCCCTACACCCCAGCCTGCCCAGGGCCTTCACCCCTGCACTCCAGCCTACCTAGAACCCTGACCCCTGCATCCCAGCCTGCCCAGGGCCCTCACCCCTACACCCCAAACTGCCCAGGGCCCTCACCCCTGCACTCCAGTCTACCTAGAACCCTGACCCCTGCATCCCAGCCTGCCCAGGGCCCTCACCCCTACATCCCAAACTGCACAGGGCCCTAACCCCTGCATCCCAGCCTGCCCAGGGCCCTGATTCCTGCACTCCAGCCTGCCTAGGGCCCTGACCCCTGCATCCTGAGTCCCAGGTATCTCCAGAGCAGCTCCTGCAGCTGGCCTGGTCCTCCCCACAGGTGCACCAGCCATGATGCAGCCGCCGCGAGTGGAGACTGACACCATCGGGGCTGGCGAGGGCCCGCAGCCGGCGGTGCCCTGGTCAGCCTGGGTCACCCGGCAGTGCTGGGTGCACTGGTGTGCATGCCATGTGCCCCGGAGCTGGGTACAGTGGTGGTCCACATCAGGCTGGCGGCGACCACTGCAGCGTGTGCTGTGGGGTCTGGAGGGCATCCTTTACCTGCTGCTGGCACTGATGCTGTGCCATGCACTGTTCACCACTGGCTCCCACCTGCTGAGCTCCCTGTGGCCTGTGGTGGCCGCTGCGTGGAGCCATCTGCTGCCGGCCATCCTCCTGCTGCTGCTCAGTGCCCTGCCTGCCCTGCTCTTCACAGCATCTTTCCTGCTGCTTTTCTCCACACTGCTGAGCCTTGTGGGCCTCATCACCTCCATGACTCACCCAGGCTACACTCAGGACTTAGACCAATAGAAGGGCAACCCCATTCGCTGCCTGTGTCTATTGAGCCCTGTCCTATACTTAAGGCCCCGGGGTAAGGGAGGAGAGTGGAAGCAGGGCCTACCTGCTGTGACAGGTCCTGGGACTCCAGCCCTAGTGTGGGCCGTGGCACATGTAGTGTGGTTGGAGCCAGCAGTTGGCCTGGTCCGATCTGGTCCTATCTTCGGACACTTTCCTCAAACTGGTACTGCAAGTACCTGGTGTGAGGGCCAAGAGGGGACAGGACAGATGGCTTAATCAGGGGCAGAGTTGGACTAAACCACCAAGAGCACCATCTGAATGTGGTGACACTGCTGGGGAATCGTTGGCAACTGGCAGCATCTCTTCCCTCCCAGGTGTGCAGTTGGCTCAGCCTCAGACTCGCTGAAAACTGCTACCTGATCTCAAGCTTGTCTGTCATTCATCCCAGTCATCCCCTCTTTGCACTCCTAGGGGAATAGCGGCCACTCCAGAGCCCTGTTGAAAACAAGCAAGCTGGGAGAGGGCTGGCTGGAACCCCAGTGAGAACTTTCTGCCTACAGTTCCCTGCCCTGTCCTGACTTCCATGCTACCTCTAGCTTCAGTGCACAGCCATACGTCTGAGAGGTGGGCCAAACAGGGTGTAAGTTTTCCAGAGATAAACCTCCTCCCTTTCCCAGAGCTCTACAGTGTGATACAGAATGTCCCACAAGAAGTTCTGCTTGTCCCACCCACCCAGTGTGCAGCTCTGGCCAATTAATTCTTTTGAGCAAGTGAGATTGATTGATTTCCCATCCTTTGGCTCACTACATGAATGCCCACAACAGTTGGATTTGGGCTAGGCTGAGGTAAGGAGCTGAGCACTCAATCTAACTGTTCCATATAGGAGTCTGCAACCCAAACTATTTGGGGTCATTACCTCATGTCGCCCCCACCCCCGCCCCTGCCAAGGTGTGCTTTAGCAGGAAGCTGGAATTGGGACTCCAACACAGGCATTCCAGTATGGGATACTTGACAAGTGACATCTTAACTGTCATACCAAATGGCCGCCCCTTCAACACACCAACATGACTGCTTTCCAGCTCCATGGTCTTGATTGAAGTTGCTAAGGTTTCCCAAACTTCATTTTCCTTGAGAGTAAAACAAAGGCAAGGGCACTGATTTTAGGGTTCCTGGCATGCAGTGAAGGGCCTGGTCAGGCACCCCAGCACCACACATGAGAGCTATGCTGTGACCAAGCCATCATAGAGATAAGTCAGGCTCCAGAAAGCCATTTGGCAGACCATTTGACTCTTTGACCACCCTCACAGGCCACTAAAAGGAAAAGCCACAAGGCTCACTGGAGGCCCTGGCCCCTCCATGCCTGCTCTCAAGAGCTCCTGACAGAGGGAGAGCCCAGGGCCAGTGAATGGGGACCAAGATGCCTGGCCAGATATACTGCTGACATCTTGCATTCCCAGCTAGGGACATCACTCGAGAGCCTTGAAGCCATCCCTGTTGAGGGAGAGAGGGGGTTTGGGTCCAAACCAGATGCGCTGGGAGGCAGGTTGAGGGCAGGAGCAAAGAGAAGGCTTCTTCTAATCTCTACACCCTCTCTCCCTCCTGCTATAGCATCAGACCAGAGAGCAGACAGGGGACATCCCAAGCCCTTGGAGGGCCTCGCTCCTCCACCTGTCTGAGGACCAGCAGCAGTAGAGGCTTTTCCTAGCAGCCGCTGAGACACACAGTCATGGGTCCTGCCCCACATCTGCTGAAACAGCCTGTGCTTGCAAGATTCCCAGGAAATACACAGCACATTGACTTGAGAGATGGGAGCCTCAGAGGAAGAAAATAATGATGATGGCTGTTATCTGTGGGTGGGAGCAGGGAGATGGGAAGCGTAAGATGCTGGGGGCAAGATCTGTGGAAAGGCAGCACTGGTCAGGAGGGGCACAAGCCACGTGGGTCAGATTTAACACCTGGGAATTGAGCAACAAGAAATGATACAATTATTTTTTGCACAAATATAAGATGCATGACAGTAAAACAAGACATTTCCTTTTTTATGTCAAGATCACACAAAAGCAGAAGATAAACAGAATGGAATGGACACTCGGGGTGTGGGACTCAGATAAAAGGGGTCTTTAAAGGGGACAGATGACATTGCCATGACTCCCAGAACTCCTTGAAATGTACACCAAGCCATCCATTGGGGCCACCTGGGGAATATACCAACAGATGGAAGACCTGTCTCTCCCTCTCTTTGTAACTCTGACATTCAACTAAATTTTTTCTTTAAAAAAAAAAAAGAGTATTTGTTTTTATTGGAAAAGCAGATTTACAGAGAGAAAGAGAAAAAGATCTTTGGTCTGCTGGTTCGCTCCCCAAGTAGCCACAATGGCTAGAGCTGAGCTGATCCAAAGCCAGGAGCCAGGAGCTGCTTCCGGGTCTCCCACATGGGTGCAGGATCTTAAGGCTTTGGACCTTCCTCCACTGCTTTCCCAGGCTGTACACAGTGAGCTGGAAGGGAAGTGGAGCAGCCGGGACATGAACCAGTCCCCGTATGGGATCCTGGCGTGTGCAAGGCAAGGACTTTAACCATTAGGCTATCACGTCAGACCAGGTAGTTAACTTTTATCTAGTTAAAGCAAGTTCCTTACCACACTTAGTTTACTAAATATTTTATCATGATTAGGTATTGAATGATAACACTGCTTTTTCCTCCTATATTATGAGGATTGTTGGTTGTCCTGCTTCATTTTGTTTGTACAGTAAAGCACATTTTGATTTCTTATATTAAACAATGCTTATGCTTCAATATTAAACCACTCTAGCATTCCTAGGTGGGGGGAAGCCCTGAGTTTTCTTAATTGACATAGAATTCAGACACATTTTATATTAATGTAAAATTGTAAGTCTTGTGACCCAGCACTGACAGTTAAAGCCATCTCCGCTCTCTGTAACTCCTTCAAAATAAACAAGTGCTTGGGCCCTTGCATCCATATGGGAGACCTGGAGGATACTGGCCTCAGCCTGGCTCAGCATTGGCCATTGTGGCCATCTGAAGAATGAACCAGCAAATGAAAGACCTCTCTCTGTAACTCATTTAAAACAAATCTTTAAAAAATTCTCAAGTGTCTGGCTCAAAAAAATTGATGTGTGTGTCTTCCTAGGTCAATATAGAATTTTCCCATCAACCTTGAAAATTCCATTATGACACATCTCAATTAATACCTTCCAAAGTATTACTCTTTTGACATCCAGCTCCATAGATTAGCTTATTCTTGAACTCATTCAGAGCAAAAACTACCTAAAGAAATGCTCACTTGTGGACTGGCGTTGTGGCTTAGTAAGTAAAGCTGCTGCCTGCAACACTGACATCACATATGGGCACCAGTTGGAATCCCCACTGCTCTGCTCTGATCCAGTTCAGTTTTTTTGTTGTTGCTTGTTTCTGTTTTTTTTTTTTTTTTTTTAAGACTTCTCTTTATTTGAAAGGCAGAAAGAGATCTTCCATCTGTTGGTTCACTCCCCAAACAGCTTCAATGGCTGGATTTGAGCCAATATGAAACCAGGAGCTTCTTCCAGGTCTCACACATGGGTTCAGGGGCCCAGGAATTTGGGGATAGGGGATGGTCTTTTGAAGATGCCCTGGACACCTCAATGTAGGAAAGAGTGTTCTGAGGGTGTTACTTGAGTGGTTTTAATAGCTCTGATATGATGGTTGGCTTACTTTAGTGCATCCACAGATGTAGGAACATGGTGCAAAGCTTGGCCAGAAGAGATGTCCAATCTGCTCTGCCTTCTATCTTCTAACGAGGTAGTTGACATTTTCTGTTGGCCTAGATGAGCTGGCCCTCATGTCCCCTGTGTGCATCTGAACATCTGTCCACAGACATCAGCAACTGAGGAAGCCCAGTCCTGACACATGTACTTCAAGGTTGAACCACACATCCTATGATTTTCCCTGTGGCTGGGGTTTGAGTCCAGCGGTATAATTGAAGAATTTCTCACCCGGGGTGACCTCAGTTTGACTTTTACGTGGACCAGCCAGTGCAGGATTAGGTTTGGTCTTTCAACCTGCTCTAGCCAATGAACATATTGATGGATGCAGCTTAGTCAGTTTTGCCTCAGCCTCATATCTCACACAAATGACTCAAGCCAGCCAGTCTGCCACAGACCTGGTCCTCACGAGTACCAATGGGTGCCACGGCCTAGTCAGGGCAACCCCCATTAACCTCCACCTTTGTGCATGCCAGTCTCTGCTGCAGGCTAGCCTGCACTAGCCCACATCCCATGCAGCTCTCATACACACACCCATGGGTGCTGCAGCTTAGCTCATAGCCCACCTTGCTTCCAGATCTGGCCCTTATATATGCTGACAGGTGCTGCAGCCTTATTTAGCCTGGCGCACCTTCAGCCCTGGTTCTTATGTTCACCAGTGACAAATACAGCTCAGCAAGGGGAGTACCCATAGTTCCCCTGCCAAGCTTGTTCCTGAACCTGGATCTTGTGCCTGCTAGGGGGTAATGTGGTCCAATCTGACATAACTCATACCCAGTCCTGACCTTGCCAGCTGGTGTTGCAGCCTAGCTCAACTGGCCCATACCCATTCTGGTTTTCGTGCATGCCAACAGATGCAGCAGCCTAGTCGACCTGACCCGCCTCCAGACTGGCTCGCCCCCAGCTCTCATTCTCACCAGTGGAAGCAGAAGAGTAGGTTAGCAAATTTATGCAGGCCTGAACCAAAGTGACTCCATTTTGTAACCGGATTTCATATTTATATATAAGATTAGTCAAAAATTATTTTCATATGTATATGCAATGGTTTGGGAACTTTTTTCTAAAGATTATTTTATTTGGAAAGTCAGAGAGAGGGAAGACAGAGATATTCTTCATCCATTGGTTCACTCCCCAGGTGGCCATAATGTCTAGAGCTGGGCCAATCTGAAGCCCAGCCAGGGGGTTCTTCTGGTTCTCCTATGTGCTTGCAGGATCCTAAGGCTTTGCACCATTCTCTGCTACTTTCCCAGGCTACAAGCAGGGAAG